CGGCCTCCGCTTCAGGCTCGAGGCGCCCGCAGCCGCTCTCCACCCGGCACCGGCCCGCAGAGGAGGCCACCGCGGCGACGACTCGGCCGCGGACGCTGGCGGTTTCCGTGTGTAGTGCGTCGCCCGCCGGCCGACCTGAGGGAACCAGCGCGCGGCAGCCCTCGGCTGGCCGTCCGGGCGTGACGTCACGGGACGGCGGGCGAGGGCGGCCAATCCCGGGGGCTCCGCGTGCGGGACTCTCCGCGCCACACTGCACCGCGCTGGCTGCCCGGGCCCGTCGGGTGTCCCCGGGGAGCCCCCAGCTCCGTGGGGTTGTGTGAGCTTCGATGGGCACGAGAGATCTCATTCGAGACACTGTATAACCTGACAAATACGTTGCTGTCAATGCAACCGAGAGTCAGGGTTGTCCTTTTCAATCCAGCTTTTTATATACCTAACATTACTGATTTCAAGATGCCTAGAAGGTCACAACCACGTGCAGAGACGTGATTACTTAAAAGTATTTATTAAGTACTCCTAGTGAAAAGCAGAGGAGCAAATCATAAGCTAAATGTCCCATCTCTGGTGGCTTTTTCCTAATGACCAATATGACTGTTTCATTTTTATGTGGTTTTTAAAACATTGTATCTTTTTAAATTTAGTCTTCACTTTTCTTCTGAGTAACACTTCCTAAAGAAAAAGAGAGACCCTTTACCTAGAAAGCTACATATCTCTAGTTTATATAACCTGAAATCTTTAACCAGTTTCATTAACAAAATTTAAGTACTATACTTAGTCTACAAAATGTAAGTACTGTACTTAGTACTGTACTTCGCTTGTCTTTGAAAACTGTATACCATCAGAAACCACAATTTCACCAGGTGTCAAATGGGCAGATAGCCATGACAGGAAATTCTTGATACCTCTTCTTCAGTAGAAAGAAGGCTGCAAAGTTAGCTGGTACTGTACTTATATTTGGGGTGAATCCTCTTTTTAAGGTCTCACCTTGACCTGATCTCTCTGATGAAGTCCTGATACTTTGTGGAGCCCACAAATAGTAGAGGAATGGGCCAGCAATTAGGGAAACAGAGAAATGTCTTCAGTCAGATCCCTGGTTACCCCCGCACCCAGAATAGGCATGTCTTTTGCTTAGTTTAAAAGACAGTGATAATCAAATCCACTTAATTCCAAACTATAAATTCACAATGATCTCTACATTTTCCTAAGAGAACCAGCCCTTGAAAAGTTGTGTGTTCCTACTTAGACGTGTTGGGGGAAACGCTGAGTAAATAATTAAAATTGCAAATAATTTTATTTTTGATTCCTTATTGTATTGTGGGGAAAAAATCCCATTAAAGTGAAGAGCTTCCAAGTGTAGTTTGTCTTTAAACAAACAATTCAAGCTCCTAACCAAATACCCCTGCCATTTTCAGTAATTGCTTTACTATGTATTTTCTACTTTTAAAGTGTTAAAACTTTAATAGTGAAAATAATTAAACCTATAAACAAAGAGTCTACTTATGGAAGGCTACAAAGTTTAAAAACTTAAGTTCAAATGGTATGGGAATTATTTTAAACTATAGAGTGTCATTAGTAACAGTGCCCATGAGTTAAGTCATATTCTTCCTGACAAAACAGGATACCTACTTCAAATCTGAAATTGGACAAACCAAAGAAGTCAGATCTTTACTCTTGTAAATTTCCTTTTTAAAAAATGTTTTAAATTAAATGCAGAAATAGAACAGAACAATCATAATATACATGCAAATGAAACAGTTGTTAATTTAAATGTAAAATATGACATATTACTTTTACTGACAAGAAAACCCATCTATATATCCTGATCCATGTTCTGCCTCCTTTGAAACAAAATACCACTGTTTCACAAAATTAAATGAATGCTCCATGACCACCTACATACCTTTAAACTAACAGTTAAATAGTGAAAAAGGAAAGAGCTAATACTATAGTATTTTTAAATGATTAAAAGATTACTGTTCTTAAATTACCAACTGACTTCAGAGATACACAATGTAATTGACACATAAAAGTGTACATTCAGTTAAGAATGAAACATTATCAGAACAACTTGCAAAACTGTTTCCATGAAATTTGCTTGGGAGACTTTGGCTTCTTTTGAGAAAAGCTCATTATACTATATAACTTCAAAATAATTTTTTCATTAAATTCCTTTACTTATGAAAATAACACTGAAAAAAGTATACAGCCAGTTAAAATCCTGTTGTTTCCCTTTACAAATCTCACTTGAGAATTCAGAATTATCATGAGACTATTTGCTACATATACCTAAAGGTTTTGTTAATTTTTAACATATATGTATTTTTTAGCCCTTAGCTGAATTTTTAAAATGAAAACTTTATAAATGTTAAGTAGATATTAACATCCACATTTTAAAAACTTGGTGAGGTGCTTGAAGTCCATATATATTCCTCTGTCAAGCCAAGTAGGTATTAAATATCAGTGTGTGCTGAACACTTTGCTAATGGGAGAACATGCCTATGTTCCAGTAAGAGAAAGACATTAATTTATTCTGCAGCAACATACTGTAATCTATATTAATTCAACACGCAGATACTTCCCACTGTTTTAAGGACTATAATAACTCTAAGTGCTTAAGGACTTGGGGAGCAAAGAAGAGAGACGGGTAAGGTAGATTAAAAAGTTGAGGATATCTAAAACATTTAAATAATAAAAACTTTTTAACAAAAAAGCATGAGTGTTATCTAGATATGAAATCTCAAAAGAGGACTAAAAGATTACGTTAGCATTTTAAAAGACATTCAATTAGTAATTGTATGTAATTATTCAAGTCATGAGAATACAGTAATCATTTTGCCAACACCAAATCTAAAATCACTGAAATAACTTCACATTTGCATACTTGAGTTAAAAATAAAGGTATTACATATTACCTAACCAAATTTTCAGACTCCAAATATTATTTTCAATTATAAAAGCAAACATATGACTGTCCTAAGTGTAGCACTGAGGGAAATAATGTGCAGGATTATACGTTTAAGTCTAAGCAGACCGTCCAGCTGTGGCAGGGGAGAAGAGCTCTGGACACTTCCACACGGGAGGAGATTAGTACATCTATTCATGCATCGTTCTGTATCCTATTTCTTATTCTCTGCTTTTTAAACCTTTTTAAGGACTCGATACATCTTAAACTTTGAAGGTCTTCTGTTTCTTTCCCGTGGTACGGCCACTAGCACGCAGAGGGGATCGTGATTTCGCCAGCCCCAACTCCTCAAAATGTATCTGTGCGTGGCTTCCCTTCCAGTAATTCAGGGGATGCAGAGATTGAGCTCATCTTTTCTACTCCTAGAGGAAACCGCTACAGGGGCTCAATAGTCAGTGATCTCACCCTCCAAAGAAGGCACCGAGTAGCGCAGTGATTGGTAACTAGGACTCAATGCTTTTGATGCAGAGCCAATCACTTCACACATTTTCTAAGGCAGTAACATGCACTGAAACTCCGCAAATTATTGCTGTTTAGTGTGCATGCATGAACACCTCCTTTTTAAAGACTTGATTAAAAGTGTAAACAGGGCCAGCCTGCCAGAGGACAAACCCTGACAGCGGCCTGGGGGTCTGTCCCTCTCTCCGCACCCTGCGAGCCTCCTCCCTTCGCACGCCTCGGCGCCGTGGAATGGTCTTAGAGAACAGGTGGGTATTTCTCCTCTCCCAGCTCCTAAAGAGTTTTAATACACAGCACAAGAGGCAAAGGCGGGAGGAAAAGGCGCCCAGGGCAAGGGCTCCCGGGGTCCCCAAGGCTGAGGGCTCCGCTGTGCCCGCGGGTTTCCAGCGTGGAGGGGGCGCGGGGCTCGGGCGCCTGCCTGGCGTCGAGAGGGGCGCGGCGGGGCGCTGGACCGCAAGGAGGCCTCGGTCCTTTCGCTTCGGTTCGGTTCGGGGCTGCAGAGCCGCGCGGGGTTCGGGGCAGAGGTTCGTGGGTCCCGAGAGCTTCGAGCGCCACCGAGAGCCCCGCTCCCGGGTGGGCTGCTGCGCCCCGACCGGCTCCCCCGACGGCCGCAGAGCCCGGAATGGGGGAAGTGGGGCGGGACGTCGGGCTCCGCCGTCTGCAGTGGGGCGCGAGTACCCCGCGACCCGCCCCACCCAGCTCCCAAGCGCCCGGGCGCAGGCGGGGTCCAAGGGAGTTGATTTAGAACGGAGGTGAGGGCGCTGCACCTCACTGAGCATGTGCGAGCCTCAACTTCCCCCTCCCCCATTTTTTCTATGGGGTTATTTTCACTACATCGAGTCCCCAAACCAAACGTCTTGTGCGTTGATTACTATGGAGAATAACTGTATGCTCTGACCCCCGGAAATGACTGCAAAAGTACAGATAAGACTTGTGAATTTCTGAAACCTTTGAAATAAAAGTAGCATCTCCTGTTTATCCACGCTGCAAGTCGGTTCTCCCCATTGAGATTATTAGCTCCGCTAAAACCAGGCTGATTCGAGGACACGGTAGCGCTACATCTCAGTCTTACAAGGGAGATGCTTGCACTGCAATTTTCACCCTCTTCTGGGATTTTTAATTCTTTTCATATTTCAGGGGAAACTCCTGAAGGCCGCTAATTTGAATTACTTTACCTCTTACTCCAATGATAGCCCGTATTTAATTTTTAAAGTGAAAAATAAGGCTCTTATATGAAAAATAAGGCTCTTATATAAAGAAAATACTAACTTTTCCCATTAGTAAGAAAGATTTGCTCTTAAGGAAATGAATTATAAAGAAATGCTCTTT